CTTTAAAATGTTAACCGTTTTGACAGGGCAACTTGGAGAAAATGTGCAGGACTCTTGAGGATCAACTAAGTGAACTCAAAGCTAAAAATGATGAGAATGTTCGTCAGCTGAATGACATTAATGCCCAGAAGGCGAGACTCCAGACAGAGAATGGTAAGTGATGTATAACAAAAAAACAGTCTGTCTCTGGAAATTATTCACATTGAGTTGACCTAAAACTACCATCAATCAATGGATAAAATTAAACAAACTAGGCTTAATTTATGTGTGTTAATTTCAGGTGAGTTCAGTCGGCAGCTTGAGGAGAAAGAAGCTCTTGTTTCTCAGCTCACAAGGGGCAAGCAGGCCTTCACTCAGCAGATTGAGGAACTGAAGAGACACGTTGAGGAGGAAGTGAAGGTCTGAACTGTTTTCTGTCTTCTTTTATATCATAGCACTTACTAATTTAAACACATAAGTTTTAAATCAGTTCGACTGTCCTCTAATTTGGTTCCTAGTTGTTACCATTTATTTATCTCATCCTCTCAGCATTAGACTTTAAAATTGATTTTAATTAAAAAATTGTCCATCTGACATTGATTGTGTGTTCAAAAGGCCAAGAATGCCCTGGCTCATGCTGTTCAGTCAGCACGTCATGACTGTGATCTGCTCAGAGAGCAGTTTGAGGAGGAGCAGGAGGCCAAGGCTGAGCTGCAGCGAGGAATGTCCAAGGCCAACAGTGAGGTGGCTCAGTGGCGATCCAAATATGAGACTGATGCAATCCAGCGCACCGAGGAGCTGGAGGAGGCCAAGTAAGTCACCATACTTTCATTGTTTAAATTAGTTTTCAGACTTAAAACCAACCAATTCAGACTTAATCAAAACAAAATTATTTAAACGATAGGAAAAAGCTTGCCCAGCGCCTGCAGGAGGCTGAGGAATCCATTGAGGCTGTGAACTCCAAGTGTGCCTCACTGGAGAAGACCAAGCAGAGGCTGCAGGGTGAGGTGGAGGACCTCATGATTGATGTGGAGAGAGCTAATGCTCTGGCTGCCAACCTTGACAAGAAGCAGAGGAACTTTGATAAAGTAAAGATTTAAACATAACCAATATCATCAAAATAAACATACACATAAAATAACAACTAACTAATTAACCTACAATAACATAGGTCCTGACAGAATGGAAGCAGAAGTATGAGGAGAGCCAGGCAGAGCTGGAAGGAGCCCAAAAGGAGGCTCGTTCTCTCAGCACTGAGTTGTTCAAGATGAAGAACTCATATGAAGAGGCTCTGGATCATCTTGAGACCATGAAGAGAGAGAACAAGAACCTGCAGCGTATGCTTATCTTGCTATAGATCATATGGATATGATTCTAATGTTTATATTCATTTATATGTTATGTTGTGGCAAAAACATCTGCATATATCAGCTCCAAGTACTAAAACTCTTGGCTATGTTTGCTCTGTAGAGGAGATCTCAGATCTGACTGAGCAGATTGGTGAGACTGGAAAGAGCATCCATGAGCTGGAAAAGGCCAAGAAGACTGTAGAAAGTGAAAAGGCTGAAATTCAGACTGCCCTTGAAGAAGCAGAGGTTTAATATTTTTTATGTCAATATTATTTATTTTGATGATTCCACTTGGTATCTGTTACTTATCTGACTTATCTCGCAGGGCACTCTGGAACACGAAGAATCCAAGATTCTTCGTATTCAGCTTGAGCTCAACCAAGTCAAAAGTGAGATTGACAGGAAGCTGGCAGAGAAGGACGAGGAGATGGAGCAGATCAAGAGGAACAGCCAGAGGGTGATTGACTCCATGCAGAGCACCCTTGATGCTGAGGTCAGGAGCAGGAATGATGCCCTGAGAGTCAAGAAGAAGATGGAGGGAGACCTGAATGAGATGGAGATTCAGCTGAGCCATGCCAACAGACAGGCTGC